CATCCTGGTCATCCATTTTGTCAGAGGTTTTGACGTCAGGCTCTTTCATGGTCGGTGAAGAAGTAGTTCCGTATGCAGTTCTCTCCAAATTTGAATCCTCGGCTACTGCTGAGGAATCTTCCCACGGCACTTGGGTTTCGAGGTTGTCCAGACCTTGGACAGCCAGAAATGGAAAGCAGCACAGCACACCACCATATATAAACAATATATCAAAATGATGTGCACGTCATGATTTGGGATTCAATGGTTTTGATAGCTACTCCCATAACATGAGTAACGCAGCCCAAGGACACACTTGACTTGGAATGTCAACAAACCTTGCACTTTCCTGAATCTTCTTGCACTCTTTCAAACGATGTAAGGTCTCCAAATAGGTGGTGAGCTCCTGTAGCTTTCGCAGCCGGGTCTCGCGCTGAACAGGATCAGGCGTCACTTCAGGTAAAGAAGGACCTGCAAGCAGTGTTAAAGGAAGAAACAATTCCCTTACCTTACTGTCCCTTACCTTACTGCATGTATATACTACATGTCCACAGTATATATATATATATGCAGTATGACAGCTACAAATGTGCACCCCCACCTTTTGATGGAGGAGTCAAAAGATCGGAAGGCTTGGACACCAGGACAGGATGCTCGGGTTCAGCTGGAGCTTCAATCTCCACAACTTAGACCATCAAAAGGCTGTTGAGGCTTGCAAAACAGTGTTCAGCAAAGGAAGTACGCAAACAAACCTGCAAATCCAAAATAAAAACCTGCAAGGCATTGGAAAGAAACCCTCGTCCACCTCACGTTCTTCCTCCTCTCCTGTTTCCTCTACACCAAAATCATCCTCACAATCCTCACCATCATCCTGATCAACAACTAAGTCCTCCCTAGAAGCAGGTCCGTAGTTGGTCAAGTCAATCCCTGTCTCCACCATCAGTCTTTGGATGTGAAGCTCACGTGGAAGATGTGGTCGTCTGCATATTGAATTATATTCTGACAGGCACCGTCGTAGGTACCAAGCCTGAAGATGGGCGGTTTGACCTAAGTCATCCCACGAAATGACATGTACAGAGTCACGTGTGCATACACATCATCAGCCACACCACTCACACGTGAATATGCATTTGTGCAACAAAAGGGCTTGGCACATCTAACTTCATGTAGGCGTACAGGCTTTGGATGTGAAGTGTCAGCACATCAACCGACACCCGAGACCCGATGATGTTGATGCATTTGACGATCACACTCTCATTGGTTGCAAGTGCATCCCGGGTGATCCGGTCGCCAGCGACTTCTACCTATAGTACAGTGGACACTGTTCACACAGTTGTTTCTCTATGTTGAATCTTCAAAAAAACAAATGCAATTGAGTGCCACCAAAATGCAAGAGCATGCAGTCTTGCCTTTTTTCTTAGCTTCTCATCAGACTCCCATGCTAGGGCAAGTTCCGTAGTCATTGGGAAGGTCCTATCCCGAAACCAAACGCAGAGAAGTCTTTTCAGCTATATATACTTGAGCCGCAAGTCTAAGCGACTAACATGCGAAGAGGAATCTGAAGCCTCAGAAACAAGAATTGCTGGTGCTGTGCCAGGGGGGGGTCACCAAGTAGCAACTAATATCCCAGCTGTTGCAGATCACCATCCAATGTGGAGCCTCAGCGTGGAATCAAACGACTCAAACCCATGTTGGACCAACAACCCCAAACAACGCTGCACAACATCTCACTAGTGCAACCCGAAAACTCCAGGTAGGGGCTGCACAGATGTCCACCCAAGAGGTAAGCCCCTCTCCTTGGCTGAGGAAGCAAGCATCCTACTATATAGGAATATATAGGAATGCACTTGAGTGCTGGAATTTCAATAGCTCAAGTATTAGCTAGGGCTCGCAGGTTGGTCAAGCCACTTTCAGGCTCCATCCATGGTCGGCAAAGTGTAATTGGTAGGGCTCCGGAGCCGTATGTGCTACCATGAAGCGGCGCTCGCTCATCATCTCAAATTCAATCATTCCAGACTCCACCGATCAAGTACTTCATGCATTATAAGACAAAAACTAGTCAATTTTAGTAAATTTGATCGTTTTCATGGCTCACATAGTCGATTCAACAGAAAAACATATCAATGACTAAAACTACTAATTATTCTTAGTCGTTTGAAGGTTCAGGATAGAAACACAATTCAAGGTACAGGCCGATACGTTCAACATCTTAGGCGACACCAGAGTGTATAGCGGTTCTTGTCCTTGATACAGCCTTCAACATCCTTCAACTACAAACGGACGCATCTTCTGCCAAAGCTTGCTGCTGCAGGAGCTCTCTTTCGAAGATCATGAGATGCAGCTTAAGGCCTGGCTTTCCGCTTTGCAAAGCTGGTGTGCGTGCATGGTGTGTTAACAACTTGTAGGCTCGTAGACCGGTCTAGACCTTCCAAGTTGGAATCCCAAGCTCACCCGCCTTCGGTGCCGAATCCTTCGGACACCGGTCGTTCACCGGTCCACACATTGCATCCCATTTTGTCAGACCCGTCCCTTTTTGTACACCCAAAAACGGCTGCGACCGAAACCGTCCTCCACATCGCTCCTGGATTCATTGCAACTCGGGCGTCTTCATCGCTCGGAGTCCGTCCCCTCCGGTCGTCGGCAAGGCCTTGCGCGCGGGGCCGGGCCCCGTGGTGCTCCTGCTCTACGCCAGTGGCGGCCGCAGCTGCCCGGAGGCCTGTCACCGCATCCGCGAGGTGCGGAGGACAGAGGACGCAGGGTGCAGAAGGGATCCCAACGGGGCAATCTGAGGCATCGCAGCGAAGTCTTGCGGAGTTTGGAATGGACCTGAAGCTTGAAGGTCAAACAAGGACGCTACGTTCGGGGCTCCTGGCCTTACTACTAGGAGCAAGGACGCTACTAGAGTGGCATAGCCAGAACCAATCACCGCGGGAAGGCACTGCCCCGCATGGCTGGCAGGCTTATGTGAATCTCGCCAGCCACTCCAAGCAAGCTGTGGCAGCGGTCCAGTGCAAACGACGCCAAGGCCATGGTGGTGTGACATCCAAATTCCCGTTTGGGCTCCAGGAGGTTGCCTCCGAGGAGGTTCGGTATGGGACCCTCCCTGCACCCTTCCCAAAGACCTCCTCTGAAGGTACTTGGAACCCTAGGATTATGACGGGTTGTCTAATCCTCATGTCTCATCGGTCAGTCATCAGAGATGCGTTTCAGATGATGCGCCACCTGTCAGGTATCGTGGCTTCGATCGATCGACACGCCAGAGTTCGAAACGCCAGAGTTGCGACGCTAAGCTCCGTCCGACTCATTGGGCTCAAGCGCTTAAGGGCTTCGACGCGGCTGTAAAAGTCGAAGTCACCGAACTGGTGTTCTTTCGAATGCAACACTACCTACTACCTTCACAACAGCAGCTTATTTGAGATAAACTCGATCATGATCGTTGAGGTTCACTTCTATGCAATGTCTCCAGTTTGGTTGGTTCATGTCTGTCAACACACACTTTGCAAAAAGACCAGACACTTCTCTTCGTCTTCAGCGTTCCACGAAGCGGATGCCGCCGCCATCAGCTCCGCTGGTGTTGACCTACTTTGACGACAACAAGGGACGGAACGAGCTCGTGCGACTGATCTTCGTGGTTGGTGAGGCAAGCCGGCCAGCTGAATAGATGATTTGAAAATATTTGAAACCACTCTCAGGGTATCTCAGGGTACTCTCTATAAGTAATATTGTGCCGTGAAGACTCCTTCTTCATTCAAAAAGAGCACCCTCAAACCACGTCCATCGCCATCTATCAGCCATGAATTAGAATGATCAATGATGGGCAGTTCCCAGAATCAAGTTTTGGGTGCATTTGGCTCCAAAACCTTGAGTTCAAACATGGAGGTGCCCATTACCACTCTATGAAATTGGGGAGGGTGAACCCCATAAATCAATGACTCTCAAGACCACCCCACACACTCCGGACAGCGTCATACTTAGATTACTCGCTAGTAGCTATATATTGTTTCTAATAGCTTCTTGTTACTACTAGCGATGCACCTCTTACTACTAGCGTGGCACTTGTTACTACTAGCAAACCTTGTTAGCCAAAATGATTCTTAGATCCTTCAAGACCCCGTATTTAAGTTTAATCTAATTTTAATTCTAATAGCTTTTTGTTACTACTAGTAAGGCACTTGTTACTACTAGCGTGGCACTTGCTACTAGATCCTTCAAGACCCCGCCACTTGGACCGGATTTGTCCGCCACCGGTCAGGTCCCCTTCGTCGACGAGCTCATTGGCTGCTTCGTCGATCGTGGAACGGTCGTTGACCGGGTGAACGTGGTTCGGTGGAGTTGTCGTTCTAACGGAAACGAAAGGGAGAAGATCACGTCACCAGCAAATTGGTGAGGATGTTTTTGGGATTTGAAGTACTAGGATCGACTGAACTTGATTCTATGATATTCTATGTGTGTGTGTGCATGTGCTCTTGCTTTGCCGCCTGGGCCACGTAATACGTGCTATCCAAGAGTTGCCCCCATCAACCGGACGTTGATCAACAGCTCGGAACATGCACCAACCCCCGCGCGGAGCGGAGCTCTCCGCGCGGAGCCGGAGCGCCCCGAGGCTTCAGCGAATATGTGCGACGTAGAGATGCCAAGCAGTTGCCCTTTGATCAAATTCCCACCCTCCGAGTGGGAGATACGGCGACCTGGGCACAGATGCCGATTTCTTCGTGTGAAGCGCTGGTGTAGTTGGTGCTGGTTGTGGTTTATTTACAGCCTTCGGCATGCCGCCGGCCACCAGCTCGAGCCCGCATTGGCAGGCAGCTTAATGATACAATACCCTGCTCAATCATACTTGTTGGTGCATTGGAGTTGCACATTTGGCTGGGTGAGTTTGTTGATGTTTATTTCAAGGTTGTTTGACCATGAAATGGAACGAATCCGAATCAGAGGTTGTCTATTCTGATCCAGCGATCCGAACCGGCATGTCTCAGTCGAATCACCTAAGAGGAACCAATTGAAACCAACACAAGCAATGCGAACCAAGACTATCCACAAAACATGACCTTGAAAACGATTCTTCTTCCAAACTACTTGGCCGTTTGCATGTTTTCCTTTTCAGATCTTTTTTTCGACCGTCTCGAGGGATTGCGACACGCACCAGATATTCTTTTTCACACACAGAAGGCTTCAAAGCGACCGAAGAATTTCTAGATCTGGCATGATTTGTCGTTTTTTTCTCCAAACCGTTTGAAATGAAAGACCCAGAATGACATCGAACAACAATACCCTGCTCAATCAGACTTGTGGGTGCATTGGAGTTGCACATTTTGCTGGGAGAGTTTGTTGCTGTTGATTTCAAGCGAAGTCGTTTTACAATGAAATGGAACGAATCCGAATCAGAGGTTGTCTATTCTGATCCAGCCATCGACATGTCTCAGTCCAATGGTTGTCTATTCTGATCCAGCGACCTACTACGTACTACCTACGACCTACTCGACCTACTACCTACTACCAGTACCTACTACCTAGTACCTACCCTACTACCTACTACCTACTACCTACTACCTACTACTACTGCTACTACTACTGCTACTACCATACTACCAGACGGAGGGGGGGAGGGGGGGGGGGGGGGGGGCGTCAGGCTGTCGAAAAATCCGCGCGGAGAGACAAACCGTAGATTGAAACCAACACAAGCAATACTAACCAAAACAATCCACAAAACAAGCCGGCAGGCCGGCGGATTTGGCCCAAACATCTCAAAGATGAACTACTGAGCATCCAGACAGAGACCCAACATCTCCGTGCAGCTGTGTCTTCTCGAAGCTCACCCCTTCGGCCCAAAGATCCCCCGCAGATAGATTTAAAGAGATCCAGCATGAAGAGAGGCACCCCTGGGTGACTCTTGGTATCTCCTGGGGTCATGTTTCGCTCTTTGAATGTATTGTCTCCCTTTCATAAAGTCTTAAAACAGATGCGTTTGACAGTGTCTCTTCACTGAGGTCTTGGGTCAATCCTGTGCCATCGCGCGCTACGCAGCGAAGCTGGCGAAGCTCTACCCGGAGGATGCCTTGAGCGCCTGCAAGGCAACAAACGACCATGGCGCTGCGTTGGTGTTTGTTTGGCTTGCAGGAAGGTTTGGAGGTGTTTTTGCCTTTCTATTGCAAAGAACGGAGATGAAAGGGCAATTCTTTGACTCGGCTTTCACTTTACCGCGTAGGTTTAGTTTCAGTCAGGGACCAATTCATGGTTCGTTTGATGACTTTTGGAAGTGCTTGAAGTAGTGTAGACTCTTGATTAATAGACCCCCCCCCATAATGAAGAGCTATTTCAATCCAATTGAGGGGGTTTACAATATAATCAAGAGTCTACACTCCATGACTTGACCCACATCCAGGCAGATGCAGTGGTGGATGCCTGGCGAGATCAATTGGACCTGCTCTACGACACGTTCTCCGGCTTCAGTCGTCCTGCCGGAGGAATCACCATCGTCCGAGAAGCTCAACGGGAGGGTTCAGGGTTTCGACATGTTGGAAGACCCTCCGACCTTTGGAAGGGTCCTTGATAAGGGAGACATGCATTAGGGAGACATGCAGACATGCATGGACATGTTCGTCCGAATCTGCATGCTGTGCTTTTCTGCATGCTGTGTTCAACTGTGTTCAGACAAGTAGAGTCAAACCCATTCCGAACTCTTCCCAGCTCTACTCCTTTTGGATCACTCGACTCAATTGGATCCGTGTCATGACATCCCCAAAACAGCGCTGCTCCGCCAGGGCGATCTCCCACCAGTTGCGCTTTCTTTTGGTCGGTCCACCAGCTTTGTCAGGCGGAACTCCTTCAAAGCTAGAAACCACATGACGACTGGTACCTTCAAATACCATTAGTATTGACGTGCTATTGACCGATTTGAAGACCATCAATTGTACTTTGGTAGTAGCGTCCACGAACGTTCCGTTCGTCGTAAGGCCAGCGCCCCGATCGCTCCGGGCGCGTCCGCTCGCTCCGATCCATTCGCCGATGGGCTCCGCTCAGCCCCACACCCAGGTTCTTCGAGCGCACGGTGATCGCTGAGAAGCTCCAGATGTTTCCACGACAGCAGGTGGAACGTGCGCAGCGGGTGGGCAACTACTTCGAGAGCTCCTTCAAGCCGTGGATGCGGCAGATGGACGCTTGGAGATGAGAAGTTGGGATGGATGGTAATTAGGAAAACGAAAAATGAATGGGAATGAATCTGATGTGGTTTGGAATGAACTGGAATGAATTTGATTACATGGACGGTGAAGTTCCCGGTGTCCGTGGCGGAGACCTGGTGGATCGACCAACGGTTTGGACCTCCCCACAGCCACGCGACACGGCGGGTGGGTTTTGTAAGACACCAGTCTTGCGGATCAACCCTTGATCGCAATGCGCCTTTGCGATTTTGCTGGTAAAGAGCCAGTGGCATTGGCCTATATCATATACTGTGTAGTGTGCTTTGCATTTGAAAAAGAGATGGCTCTCCACACTGGCTGTTCTCTCTCAATCTTCTGGAATTTCCACTGGACGAAGCCGGCCCCAGCACAAGCCAGGAGAAGTTGTTGGATGGTCGTCGCATCGCAGCTTCGCTGAGCTTTGCCGAGCTGGCGATCTTCGATTTGGTCTCCACCTTGGAGGGCTTCGTGGAGCCCGAAGCGTTCCTGGGAAGAACGTGAAGATGGAGGGACTGAAGCGGAGGGACTAAAGAGGGCGTCGAGGGGATGACATCAAACAAATATCAGGAAACCGTGGTAACCAAGTAGCAGCAAGAGCAAGAACACGGTCTGGGAAACGATTTTTTTTGCTGGATATTCCCCTAAGATTCGAAACGTGTCCGGCGGGCTCGCCCGCAGATTGTGGTGTTAGAAAACCGCATTCCATGTTCAGGTTCAAGCAGGTCATGGACCTTCACCCTGAAGTCCGTGGATTGGTGCAGGAGATCGGTGCCTTGCCGAGCAACTCGGATGCCATCAAACGAGTGGACCGGTTAGATGAGGCACTCCGGCAATGTCCTCACTGTGCCACCCTTCACCCCTCCTTCCATTGCTTCATGCTGGATGTCAAATTGATTGCAACTGCAGTCTACTTCAAAAAAGACCACCAGAGAAGACGTCACGTCCTTTGGATCTCCTTGAAACAACTTGGTTTCCTTCTTCTCAAGATCCCTTTGGCGTGCAGACCATCTAAGACCCCACCACCTCTTGCTGTTACACCTGAGGCGTGCAGCAGCACCTGGTGCAGCATCCCTACCAGTCGCTTCGTGAGCTCATGTCCACGCCGAGCAACTGCAAACGACACCTGGAGTCGCTGCTCTTCCCGTGCCTCAAAGCTGCCATGGCCAGTTGGCTCGGCCTCAAGCGCTGCTGTTCGGGCGACAGATGAACCACCGAGGGACTCCACGGCGATCCAGCAGGTCGATGTGCACGACACCGACAGCTGCGGTGCAGAGGGGCCAGCGGTCCGCATCGCTCGTCCTCACCGGGTGAGGGAGAGCTCGGGGTGATGATGGTGATGGCCACAACGTGGTGTTCATGCTGAAGTTGCAAAGGAAAGCTTTCACACCAACGTCACAGAGCTCGTCACAGACGAGCTCGGGAGTGGATGTGAGTGGATGTTTTGTTTAGTCCGTTGAGTCCCATCCAGGGGCCGTGGATGTGACAGGGGCACCCAACTCCTTCCTCGATGTATAGCACCCTGTCCTCCATGGAGCTGCTGGACTGGAAAGTGTCGGATCCACTTTGCGTGAGGCGATGAGTCTACTCTAGACGGCACCCTCTCAAAGAGAGAGAGAGAGAGATTGGGTCCGTCATTGGATGCACGTCCCGGCAAATGACCGGAAGCGATGAAAGCATCGAATCTCTGCCTTTCATTGCAGGGAGCGACGTGTTGAGCGGCTCGCCTGGGTGAAAAATCTGCTGCGTCACTGCAGTGAGCCGCGGCGTGCTGCGGGCTGCGTTGAAGGCATTGGGCTCGTTGGGAGCTTTAGCTTCAAAAGGAGGGATGTGTTGGGCAAGTCTGCCGTCGCTGGAACCGTTGAAAAACCAATCATTTGACGACGCAGATGAGGAGTAATGGGACATCCGGTGAACTTATGATAATACAGGGTTTAGACCTCTTTTTTGTCATATGAATTCATATGACTTTTATGACTCGCAGTGACACCCGGTGTTCAAGCATGTCGACACTGACCTGTTCGCAGGCAAGTGTGCCGAATTTGCCGACAAGTTGCCAGCCGTGCTCTTCTTCGCAGCTACACTGCAAACAACCCCTTGGCCAGGTCACTTTCAGACATGCAACTATCATGATTTAGGAATGTGTATGCCACAAGAAAGGGATCCAACACACTGGAGGTGCATGGTGTTCTTCTGTGTGGAGTCGTATGACATGGGGTTCCTTTACATGTCAATGATTAAGACATCGACTTCTACCAGGAGTCACAAAGGGGGTTAACGGACACCCCTTAACGGCTAAGGGGCTATAAATAGACACCCTTGGAGGGTCCTGGTATAGGAGGCTTTGTGGCATTTTGTGGCCATTCAGCTGTGCGTTTGAGGCCAAAGGAAACCGACCAGAGAAGGTGTTATCGACGGGCACGTCCTTGTCCTATTCGCTCTTACAGAAAAAAGGCCCGGGCAGGGTTAGGACATGTTAGGATCGTGTTCTTCGAAGTTCTCCTATTTGACAACACACGTCACAAGTCGCGCAGAAGAACAGCCGCAGCCTATACATGTTTCTTGCTGAAAAAGATTCGGAGAAGCTCCAAGAGATTTGGTCCTTCAGTCTTAGGCAGACAAGCTAGACATCCTCCCATCCTTCACAGCTCTAGTACGTGCACGTCGTGTGAATGATGTCACTCGCCCCAGATATGTCGATGTGGAGGTGGCCAAGGCAGATGTGAATGATATGGAACTGACCGCTGGAGACTTTGAAGGCCCGGTGGGATGCACCGACCACGTTCCCTCGTGGTTGGCGATGGCGGGTCGGTGATGTTGAATTCTCTGAATACGTTTGTTCGAATTTTCTGAATTGCAGAGACCACGACTACCCCCAGGATACCATGGACACCACCATTTTCCTTGTGAAACCTCAATCATCTGAGTGACCAGGTTCGAAGCCAGGAATTCTCACCCCAAAGACGAAGGGATCAAGATTTGAGCCCAGGAAGTTCATAGTTCAACCTGCAAGGAGAAGCCCAACTCCACTTGTTTCCCCCAACTCAACCCCTTTGTCCGCCTTTCCGCCGGGAGAATTGCGGGAGAAGCGCAGGCGGCGATCCCTGTGGCGGGCAGTCGCTTTGCTCGGAAGATGGGGGGAGGAAGCGTTCGGAGTCACGCCGATCAAGCATGCGTTTCAGCCGGTCGGGGTCGGCGTTCAGCCGAGGACCCTTGAGAGGTTTCCACTTGCACCCTTTTGAGGGGTCAGGGGAACGTGTCGTTCGTCTTCGTTCGGAGTCTCGTGTCGGAGTTCTCATCTACAAACACAAAAAATTGTGCCTCATTTGAATCAGGTCTTTGCTTTTTTGGGTTCAACACACGGGACAACAGACCTTGATCTTGGCAAACAGAATGTTTGTGGGATTTGATTTCTCGAACCGGACAGCTAGATGGGTGTGTAGCTCAAATAGGGAGACCTCCCAGGCAACGACCCTGTGGAAGAAGGAAAATAGGCCACGGCCGCTGTCTCCCAATTAAAGAACACACGCGCATGGGACACGAACTGAATCCTCCGATGGCCCGCCAGCCACGAAGAAAACGAAGTGCTGCCTTCAATGGGTTCCTGAACCGGACGCCGCTTGGAGGTCTGACTGAGCTACACAGGAAACGTTGTGGCTGCCCTTTGGCGCCGAACGTGGTGAGGTTCTGCTTGCTGCTCCTGCATCGGGGGAAGGGAGACTCGGTGCCCTTGGAAAAGGTCTCGAAGGCTTTGAAGAGCCTTGGCGCAATACGATGGACGTCTCTTCTTGGGGGGGTTCTCATCTCATCTCTGACCAATACGTATAGTTGATGGATGTTGATGGCAGGGTTTTTTCTCGTCGAATGGCTGGACTGGACTGACTCTTCTTTGCCCCTTGTGGACAAGTTCTTCCGGTGGTGACTGCCGCCAGGCATCGATCCATTTCAATGTCCAATCATGTCCATGTCCCAGGAGTCACTGGTGTTTGATCCCCAAGTGAGTGGATAATGGGCACCCCTAACCTCCATTAAGCACCCCTTTGTGACTGCTGGTCCATTTTCTTTGTCCCATACGATACCTTTGGGATGCTGATGTTTTCCATGCCAGAAGCATTACAGTACATTTCAAAATTGACCCTAGGGACACGACACAGCCCGGCCCGCCCTTTTTCCATCCCTCAAGAAAGACTTGAAACGTGACGGAATCCATGGCGTCAGGAACGAGCCAGTGAAGGTCTATCGTGCCAGGCCCTCAGGTCGCTTCAGGAACGACTCGGAACGACCATCGACGGTCCGGAGCCGTTCGCAGGAAACGGGTCCGATGGTGGGTCCAGACTCCATGACCGTCGGTTTCTTACCCATCCTGAGATCGATTTGGTTCGGGATCAGGAAAGGGATGTGGACAATGAGCGGGCTTGGGCAGTTGACATGTCAGACGGGCTTTCTTCAGAAATCCCAAAGGATCTGACGTCATGAGTCAAGTCTTCTTGGAAAGAAGTTTCTTTAATCCGGGTTTGTTGGATGTTTGTGTTTAATGGAGACGCTGGGCCGCCCATTTGTAGGTTATCCAGCAACCGATTGACAGGCTCCAACGGACAGATCTTCCAACTATGCAACAATGCTTGCCTTGTTGGTTTTATGAAAAGGCATAAATGTTGCATATAGTTGTAAGATCTAGGTACTTACACCACCAAGAATCCGGGCCCGAACCACAACACATAGGCCTTTGGATCAGGTCCGGACCCCTCAGCTTTAGGTGTCGGGATGAAGCACTTTTGTAGCAGCTTGGCGATCCATAGTTTTTGCAAGGAGCATCTCATTGAATCAGCTATGAAGGACTTTATTCCAAAGGAATCCTGCAATTCTTGTGCACGAAACGCTGCCTGATCCAACAGAACCCCAAGACCCATAAATAAACTCGCGGAGAGTTGATCCCAAAAGGGCCGGATGCGACACGCGAGACGACGCGGTCCGCGACGCCGCAGGTGTCGGCCGAGAAGCACCCTGCCTTCGCCCGAGCCTTCGAGGGCTTCGTAGGCGCCACGTGCGTCGTAGGCGTCGAACGCGCAGGGTTCGCGGGTGGGAAGACTGAGCGCCAGCTGCTGGTTGATGCGGCGTGCCACGGTTTGGGGGTCCAGACATTTGGGCATAGTAACAAGAAGCCATACTAGTAGCAAGGTGCATCGCTACTACTAAAGGAACAAGAGGATGCTACTAGCAAGGACGCTACACCTGTTTTGGGTCGTCTCAGACCGGATGCAGGCTTGCTACGTCGTCCTGCCGTGCGGCTGGTGCTCTACAGACCGTCCCTGGGGTTGAAACGGGGCGGAAACGAGCGGTGTGTGGAGAAAACCGATCTGCAATTCGCTCCCACGAGAATCTTGCACTCCTGCATGGAGGCCCCCCCCAAAAAAGGACCGAATCCCTTTTTTCGTCCCTCACTTCCGGAGGGCTCCCAATTCCTCCAAAACCCCTCCGTTTGTTTCCTCCGGGCGTCCGGCGGCGTCCGGCGGCGGCAGTCAGGAAGCGGCGGAGCTTTCAGAGCTACGAGGGCGCCACGGACTCCGCGGAGTCCGTGGTGGACTTCGTTCAGAAAGCCATCAGCAGGTGCAGCCGGTGAGGGAAAGTGGTGGGGAATGAGCGGTTTTTTGGGGGGAGGTGCAGTGAAATTTAGGGGTGGAAAAGTGACCATTTGGGAGGTGTTCTTTTTTGTGCTTTTGTTTGGGGGAGGTGAATGTTTGGGGGAAAAAGATTCATTAGGGTGAGGAAGTGGCAAAGGACTTTGAGGCATCATAGAGGGGAATCACCTGGAAAGCAAGTCAGGACAGATGTGTATCAGACTGAAACGCCGTGCAAATCGGAATCATGGCCAACTGACGTGTGGTTTTCCAATCAATTGGAGCCGCTAGGCGGGTCGCGGTTGGCATGTCGGATGTTTCAGTAGGGCGGTCTGCAAGACTCAGCGGAAAGGTCTACATGAACACACAAAAAGTGCCGGCGGGAGCACTTTCTCCGCTGTGAACATGTTCACAAGTGAGAACTCAAGTTGGGCAGATATGTTCATCCCAGATTTCACCAGTTGGGCGATGGCCTCCACCCTAGTAGCGATGCACCCTAGCAAGTATATATGTTCTTTACTGATATGTGAAGAGTGGAGGTTTACAGACTCCCTCGTTTGTGTCGTGTGGTTTCCGCCGAAATGCTGGTGCCAGGGGCTCTCAGTTGCCGGAGAAGCTCTCCGTCCTGCCAGTCATCCAATGAAGAAGGATCGATGGACCTGTGATCTTGTGGAAGATCGCCACATCATGTGATTTTCTCACCTGGAGTGGTCTTTGGATGGTCCATCCACATGGTGATCCGATTTCACGCATCGCGCGTGCCATCCACTGGAATCGCAACCCATGATGATTCCAGGGAGTGTACGACCGCAGAAGGATTGACGACCGAGAAGAACGGACCACCTGCCTTGCACCGAGAAGACTGTGGATTGGGGAGTGTCCCACGAAAATCCAACAGATGGACAAGTGTCAACCTGGTTTTTTCCCGGAAACCCAAAAGGGGTCAGTATAGTCTTTCCTCTGAACATGAGGCATGATGCTGAGTGGGTTCAAAAATGGTTCAAACTATTATGTTCAAAGACACAGCACCGAGCAGCGCAGGAGAAATCTCTGAGCCTTCAAAAGCTAAGGCTTGTCATGTGGCTCCAAAAGTGGGTTGTCAAGAAATCAACTTCGCAGTGGAAAGAGTATTAAACTTGCCTTTTGAATCTTCTGACCCACGTTTTGGAGCTGCAAGACGTTTTTTCATTCCAAGGAACTCTTAAATAATTTGTAGCCCTAAGGGGGGTCTTTTGGAAGACCCCCTAACTTAGGTGTTCCGTTTCGATTTTGGCCTGGACTGCCCGCCGACTGCGGGGCTCCGGCATTAAAGCCCGTCGCTCAAAGACCTGTCATGTCACAGCCCTGTACAGCCGCTGATGGCTGGCATGCAAACCTGCGCCTTTGGCGTCCAAAACATGAGCGGAGCGGACGAAGGAGTTCTACAGAAGTTCAGAAGTTCAACCACATGGGTCGCATCCTTTTTTAGATCTACGAGTCTTGCAGAGATGCCAACTTTGTTTTGATGTTGTCTTATAAGTGTCAGTCACTATAGAGGGATCATACACCAGGATTTCGGATCAGCCTAGGGCCCTTGTAACACCTCTTTTCTCATGTCTTTTTGTTGTTCTCTTCACCTCTTTTCTCAGTGCTTTTGGGTGGTTTCTTAGTGCTTCCCGGTCTCCGGCGCGAGCTCGGCTCGGCGCTTCCGGTCCGCTTCCGGTCCGGCGCTTCCGTTCGCGCCAGGGTGGCGTCGCCCTTCCGCGGCCTGGACCTGGACGGCGACAAGTTGGACAACTTGGACGAGTGGTACGCGGCACGGGGCACCCGGTACGGGCGGGCGGTGCCACGAGGGACGCGAGGAAACGTGAGGGTGGGGACGAGGGCGAGGGACGTGGGAAGAAAGGGCCGGTTTTTTGGGGCTAAGCAGGCGGGATTGATGCTGCCGGGGGGGTTACGAGGCGGTGCCGAGCGGTCTCAGAGAGGCTGTCCCTTCGGTGTCAAGTCTGGGTGCATGTGTCTTCTGCGAGCGAGGTGGAAAGGAAGTGAATTGGTTCACCGGATCTGCTTTAAACATCTTCCGACCCACGCAGATCCGGCTCAAACAGCGTACACCGGGCCATCGTCCACCGGTTCACGCGTTCACCGCGTTCGTTGCGCCATGCAGAATGTCACGGCCTTAGGGCCCAAAAACCCCTGGACGGCCAACCTGTTGAGTGCCTTGGGCATCATGCACTTCAACAACGAGGAGATCAAAGAGACCTTCGATACCCTAGTGGGTTCCCTTGGTTTTGTGGTGATCCTTTTTGTGTTCTATTTTCCCTATGGTAAATCAAATCCATGTAAACCCCCCTTATGTTGGGAAATATGTTGTTTGTATTTTTCCGGTTCTCGGTTCCGCCGCACATCCAAGGCTCTGGGCAAGTCTTGCCCAAGATTCGCCTCTTTGAGATGCTCAAGGCCGCCTATGGCTTTGAACCGATGCCCGAGGAGATGGGTTTATTTGTGAATACCTTTCATCTCGAAGACGATGCCGGTGAATTGACCTGGCCTGAGCTCGAAGCGGGCTTCGATGAGATTCGAGAGGTCTTGTCCGGCGTCTCAAAGAACGCCACGGAGTACATCTCGGTGGACGACTATCGGACCGACCTCATGAAGCACCGGCGCATGATGAAGGATCCCATGGATAAGTTCAAGGCTCCCATGACCGAAGCTTAGACCAATTGATGCTTTAGGGCCTTGCAACGGGTTGGTTCTTCTGAGGTACTGTGAGTGGAAATAAGGCAGACGTGGAATAAAAGACTATTAGATATTGTCGCTAATGATATGTTCTTGACATGTCTTAGATGCTGATGTCGACGTTCAATGGATTTCTTAAGTAGTGGATCTGCTCGCAGTTGATAGAGGTTCTAGCATCAAGAGATCAAAGCAAAGTTCGGCTCTATATAACTATAGTTCATCCATCCAAAGTTCGATCAGAGGATGTTCTTGTTGTTTGCTTCATGTGTCCGATTGTTCATCGTCAACGGACTGTTTTCTCCTCCAAGGAGTCGATGAACATCGGTTGGCACGAAGAGGAGGTCTTCAATGAGCGTTTCCCCAAGCAGTCCTGTGCCGAAACCAGGTACGCGGACGACATGGTCAAAGCAAAGTTGGAACCTTTCTGAACGTGACAGATGTGCAATAAACACGCATTTAAGCAGATTGATGTCTCGTGTTTCTATAGTTATTTTGGTGATGTGCTTGACATGATATGTTTCTATGGTTTGGTCAAGATTGCAAAATTGTTCCATAGTTTATGTGTTTGCTTGCCCTTCTCCCGTTTTCACCCATGCTGTGACTGGCTGGAAAGTTTGACTTGCCCTTGGAACAAGGATGAGTATGCAGATCGAGGTGTAGTGGCCAGAGACGGCTTACAGAAGTTCGTTTCGGAAAGAAAAGCACTGCGAAGGCGAAGTTGCAGAAACACCGTACGTACATCTGGTATGTGTCTATAGGTGTCTCAGCACAAACTATATATCAATCCAAGACCCCAAATTCGATCCTGCAAGTCCTGACTCCGCTGAAGCTTTCGATCGCTCTCGTGTTCCTTCACCCGTATCCCTTCCGTGGTCTCACCAAAGCGAGCTGCTGCGACTCGACCGGTCGTCGCTGCGGTCGACGTCTCTTCGTCTCGACGACTCGACTCGCACCCAGGAAACCATCAGCGGCAATGGCGGACCACCCACCGGGCCCGGGGGACCCGGTCGTCGGTTCGGTGCGTTGGGGTCGGTGGGGTCGGTGTTAGAGAGCTGATGCTGAAAGCCAAAGGGGTGAAACTTATACTTCTCAATGACCGGGTGGTTTCTTTTGGTATTTCGGCCTTTTGGATTGAATGCTGTGAGACAAATGAGGGAGAAAGGCCAAGCAAAAAGAGGGATGTGGGATGTTCTCAGAGGCTTCATGTTGGACCCAATCGCTTATAAGTGGTGCTTTCACCGGCCTCAAGTTCTTTACGCCTTCAAAGAAGATGAGGTACTCCCAAAAATACCCATAAACTACCCCAAGTAAATCCAAACACACCCACCAGGTCTCTGCCGTTCCGCCGCCACGTCCTTTTTTTCGTGGACGGACACTCCTCGTGTTCCGGGTCCCGCCTTCTTCGGTCGGACGCGTTCGCTCCGCGGTCCGATGCGCCGAGGTTTATGAAGGACCTGATTCTTAGGACCCGCTGCCGCTGGGGCGCCGTTCGGCGGGGGGTGGTCCGGGGCTGTCCTTTTGGTGTGTGTTGTGTTTGTGTTGTGTTGTGTGCAAGCCATGGCAATCTTCGCCCCAAGCTTCGGCCCAAACAGCCGGTGACTGCGTGCATGTGACTACGCAAGTATGTGGATGGCACTTCTTAAGAGAAGCAAGAGGAAGATACAAGCCTATTCTGTGATTATGATGTATGGTCCTGAAATCTTTGGTCCAATCTTTGGTCCTGAAATCTTCTCCATCCTTTCGTTTCACTTCTCACCATGGTGCCGCGGCCCAGCGAAGCGGCGCCCGTTTCACCGCCCCCGCCCACCGAAGCGCCGGAGACACCCCGCAAGGCGCACGAAGCGAGGAAACGCGTATCGGTCTCCTCCCTGGCGTCCTCCGTGGATTCGGAGCTTCTCCGCGCGGTGCCACTGAATTTGGTGTTGGCAGGTTGTGGGAAGGCCTGGATCAATCAGGCCGATGAATATCACCGGAGTGAGCGTGTCAATGCGATCGATGCATTTTTGAGTCATGACTGGGGGACGAGGCGGTGGCTGAAAACAGCCACTTTGCTCGTCTATTTCAATAGTGTGCCGGCCGCAGTGGCAAGTTTGCTGATGTGCATCTTGGTTTGCGTCCTCATCATCTTCAGGGTCTTAGACGGATGGCTCCCCGGTACACTCGCCATCCACGGTGCTTACTGGTTTGTCTTTGTGTACTGGCAGAGCATTCGCGGCCTTTACAAGAAGAACATGGTTTTTCTTGATCGAACTTGCATTGCACAGCATGATACGGATCTGAAGAAGCAAGGGATCCTCAGCTTGGGTGGCTTCCTTTCCAAGTCCCGAAAGCTTGTGGTCCTGTGGAGTCCACGCTATTTCACCCGTTTGTGGACGGCCTTCGAATTGTCGGCCTTTTTGAGGGAAGATGTGGGTAGAGCGAAAGATATTCTCTTTGCCCCAGCAAGCATGGGTCCACTACTTCTGTACTTTTCAGTGTTCGAAACGCTGCTCATCACCAGCTTCCACTTGTTCCTAGAACGCTATGTCCAGTCTGTGCTGCAAGAACAAACCACATATTTGCAACAAGACAAAGGCAGCCTGTCAGGCTTGGGGCATCTCACAGTTGCGATGCTCGTCATTTGCGCGCCAGCCTTTCTGGTGATTGCACCCCTAGTGCTTTACCTTGGCACAATGCAGATGAAGGCTTTGCTGCAGCTGAGAAAACAGCTGGATGATTTTAAGATTCGACATGCTCAGTGCAGCTGTTGTCAGATGGACCATCGCCATCCTGACACTGGAGAAGAGATCTTGTGTGACCGCATGCTGGTCTTCCAAACATTGAAAAGATGGTATCCCAACGAAACGTCTTCGGATGCTTATCTGGACCGATTTGATGAGATGGTTCACACTAAGCTCGGTGGCTTTGTGGGACATGTCTTAGGAGCAGGTGCTCCACCTTTGCGACACGTCGTGGCCATCACCGTGCATCCGTTGCTTGGTTTCTTGTGCTTTTACGTCTACCTGACTGTGAATGAACACCTTTTTCCCTGGTCTGCCCTTGGCTGGATGATCGGCTGGTTTCAGGCTCCTCCTATGGTGTACCTCGCATTCTGGGAGTTCTTGCAACTTTGGAGGATGGGCGCTCGCTTCTCAAGCGCTCGATGCCCCCTGTGGCTGATCTTGTTCCTCGGAGCGGCGACCGGCATCGGTTTCAATGTTGCGGTCTGGTTGCAGTACAATCTTTTTAAATATACCTTTGGGCATGATTTCAATTGGCCTGTAGTTGGCTCCCTCATCTTCATGTGGGTGGTTTTCATCATCCCATACATTTGGGAATATTTTCCCAATATTTTGAAGCAAAGGAGGAACGGTATCTGAAAGGTTGAGGTTCCGCATGTCCCGTTCCATGGTCTTGTGAGTGTTCGTAGCGATTCTAGCTGCTAGATTGAATATGACAGAATCATTTGCCGTTGAAGAGTGCGGAACATGAGTGGTCTCACCAACTCTATGTTTCACAGGATGTGGAGGAAGCAGAAGACAGAAATGAGAAGCATGTGATTGCCACGTGGCCATGGAGGTCGAAAGGATCGCCTCGCCGATGCTTCATCGCCGATGCCGGAACGCAGTGGGATGTGCGAGCGAGTTTCGGACCTCCCACCCTGCAGGCCCCAGGCCCCCCTGCACCCGATTCCGAAACCACGCGACCTTCGCCGGGAGGAGCTTCTACGGAACCTGGCGCCCCAATGGCTGGTTCAAGATGTCCCGGAAGTACACGGGCCGAGAGGGTCAGGCACCGCCCCATCCGGAGCGCCGGTGGGAAGGTTGAGTACGTGGCACGCCCCTGCTGCAAGGAGTGTTAGGACACAAGCTTGGGAGTGTGAGCTTTTGGACACCTCGATTCCTCTAGGAATCGAGAAATCGAAACCGCCAAGACATGCTGGAGGGTTGGCAAACCACTTCGTGTCAATAACACTCTGGCCTATCAGGTGGTTGCCGGGGATAACACTCGGGTGCTTTGGTCAGGAACCCCGAACAGGTGCGTCCTCCGTTTGCTTCACCGCTGTGCCGGGACCGACCGCATGGACAGCGGGAGGTGAACGATCCCGGCTCATTCGCTTGTTGGTTGGTGGTTGAGGTGAAGACACTGAAGCTACTTCCAAGCTAGGTCTTGGATGCTTGTCTTCCAATTGAAGTTGACATGTTGAAAAAGAATCACAACACAGTAACTAACCGTTACTAACCATACAATCCGCTTTCAAATTTTCAACTTGTCATTTCAATAGGATATATGGAGATAACTGGTGTGCTTGGAAACGATCGATCGATCGCCACTTGTGCCGCCAGCCCTGTGAGAATGACCACATGACTGCCTATGAGGCGGCACCGATCAATGTTTGAGGAAGCATGGACCAAGAGCTTTGACCCGTAATTGTACGAAACTAAAAGGATAAAACGACGGGTTTCACGAGGAGAGAATGATTTCATGCTTATACTGTATATATGCATGGCAATATACATTTGCTTCGTTTTTTGTGGCGGATGTATGGACGCTGCTGATTGTTGTAATGTCGAAAATAAAGAAACAACTTAGGTGCGGTGGAGAGGTTTAAATCATCTCAATGAAGGAGTGGTTCATGGGAAAGAAGCTGTAAAAGCAATCCGACACTCCCAAAGCCTTTTGTTGATTGGACGTCAGTGTCGACGCGCCAGAGTTCGTGTCGAGCCCAGACCTTCAAAGAGAACCTCAAGGAAAACAAGCGATGGATGGGCCAGGAGACGACTGGGGATGGGCCATGAGACCGCCGCCTTTGCTCATCGAGATTGAACATGTGAACCTCGAGTCGCCGAGTCCGGACGCGAACCGTGACTGGAACGGCCGCGGCCGTTCGGAACGGAGCGAACGGACGCGACTCGTACCGTGAGGACGATGGCAACGGCTGGTTCTGGCTGGTGGCCGGCCAGAATCCAGGAGGTGCGCAGCTTTCCGAGGATCCGTCGGATGGCGTGTCGAAGGAAGAGGCAGAGAACCACAAATCGTGGCATGTTGGGAGGAAACCAGGATGCGTTTGGATATGTGATGATCAGCAGTTCAATCATCCCACATCGAAAAGGATGTCAGTCATCGAGGGAAAACATAACATTATATGATCACTTAAGTATTAGAAAAGGTGCAATGACCAGCTTTGGAATACGAGCCGTTGTGAATTTCATGCATTTCGCTCAAGCCCGCCATAGGGATAGGCTCCAACCCGCTGAAAACACCCGCTTTTTCTTTGGGATATGTTCAGCATTGAATCTGTGGCGACCGGGTCTGAAGAAGCAAGGCTGCAAGGCTTTGACCTCCCTTCACACGCGAATTACCTGAAGTCTGTGGTACACCTAGCTATGGCAGATCAGTAAGCCTTAGTGACATCTGGAGTCGCAAAGGCCATGAGGTTTTCACGTTT